ATAATCTCAGCACTAGGGAGCTGTAGGCAAAATCAGGAGTTCAGGGTCCTTCCAAGCCATTTATCTAGCTCAAGGTCAGCTTAGAAGACATGATAACCTGTCTCAAGTTTACAAAAAAATAGAAGAAATTCCACTGACATTGAGTCATTTGGGGATTTTCTTTACTCTTCTGCTCCCACTTTCAATATTAGCCTGCTGTGGTTTGAGCATGTGCCCCCAACATTCCTCAATATGTCAGCTTTGACAGGTGGGACGCAAGAGTAGCGTTTGATCTCATGAATAGAGCAATGCCTCTCTTGAATTAGCTATCACGTGTTCAGGGAGTTCGAGTCTTGTTTCTTGCTCATCTAACTTTCCACTTTCTGCCATGAGTTGAAGCACTGGAAGACCCTCAGCAGTAGCCAAAAAAAAAAAAATGCTGGGACTATGTTCTTGGAAGTCCTTGTCTATTAAACTGTAAACCGAAATATACCTATCCCCTTTATAAATTACTCAACCTCAGATATTCTGTTATAGCCATAGAAAATAGAAATGACCTACCCCCCCCCAACTGACCATTTAAACGTTTTGAACTATTTCAAGCACAGAAATAGGAGACTAATATATCAAGAGCACATTTGTGATCCAAGCTTCTTTTTATAAGATTGAAAATGTATTTTACTTGGTGACTAGAAATATTAGTAATTAAATAGTTCAAGTGAATCTGTGGATTTTGCTGGTGTTTTTGTGTTCATATAAAATTTGCTCCTTTGACAGTTTCCTTCATCTTTCTGTTACATGTTCTTGGATGCAGATTTCTTTGAGGGTGATGAAAATGCTTTGAAATTAAGGATGTGATGGTCAATTTCAATCACCAACTTGATGAGATCCAGCATCACTTGGGAGAGAGATGAACTTCTGTGCATGCTTGTGGTGGATTCTCTTGATTAGGTTGATTGACATGGGAAGAAATTGCCACTATAGTTGGAACAGTTTAGTGGACTGAGATGCTAAATTATATTTTCAAAAGGAAAAAAAGTGTGGCTGAAAAAATGATTCAGTCATTAAGAGTATTTATCTGTTGCTCTTGTAGAGGAACTGGGTTTGATTCCCAGAACTCATGTCGGGCATCTCATAAACACCTGTAACTCCAGTTCCAGGAGATTGGAAATGTTATTCTGGCCTCTGTGGCCTCCTATACATACATAGCATACATTTACAAAGATGCATACACATACATACACATAAAACAAAATTTTAAAATATTAAAAAGTGGAGAAAGTGAACAGAGCACCAGCATGCATTGTTCTCTGCTTCCTGGGTCCAGATATAGAGAGATCATGTTCCCCAAGCTTTTGCTACTGTCACTTCCAGGCCATGATGGACCATGACTTGGAACGTCAAGCCAAAAGAAACCATTTCCCCATTAAGTTGTTTTTCTCAGAGTATTTTATTGCAGAAACAGGAAATACAACTGAAACAGGAGGATAGCTGTACAACACTGTAGATAAACTAAGGTCTGTGAAGTCTGTAGGAAAAAAGCTTAAAAGGTTAAAAGGTTAGGGCTGGGAGTTAGCTTGGTCAGTAAAATGCTTATTGTCCAAGCAGAAGTACTTGAGTTTGAGCAAGAGAATCAATGTGCAAAGGCTGGGTGTGGGGGTCCATGCTTCTGGTCCTAGTGCTGAGGAAGACAGTACTCAGGAAGAACATCATCCAAGATCATCCTCTGTCCCTGACCTCCACAGGTACACACAAGCACTTGCACACACACACACACACACACACACACACACACACACACACACACACACTCCTTAACAGCTGGACTTTATATTATGTGAGTTACAACTTAAGTTTTTAAAGAAAAGTTTCCAGCCAAGAAATGAGTGCTTGACTAGCCAAGCCTTCTGGTCTTTGCTTGGATTTATTGACTCTCTTCTCAGTCATATTTGCCCTGGTATGTTGGTACCTATGGCTCAAATCATGGTAGCCTTCTCTGAGGTGTCCAGAGTCATTGTGAAGCCTCACAACATGTATATCCATTTCCATGCATCAAATACAGAAATCTCATGTGTTTGTGTTACTTCCTGAGTTTGGAGCATCTTGTTTACATTGCACAGAGTAGGTCTTCTAAAGCCTTTCCACCTGAAGCATCATATTTTTTGTTTTGTCCTTTTGGCCTCTTTCCTAGATGCTCTACATTAACTATTTCAATGTATAACCCTTTCAAAATTGTGAACAAGATATAGATATATAAATAAAACAAATATAATTATATATATACACAATATAACAAAATCACATTCATGATTTGGTCTTGTCTGGTTTTGTTCTTGTTATGCTGTGTTGTTTTGTTTTAAAACAGGCTTTCTTTCTATACTCCTGGCTGTCCCAGAACTCACCCTGTAGACTGGGCTACCTCTGCCTCCCAAGTGCTGTGAGTAAAGGCATGAGCCACCGCACTCAGCTTGTCTGGTTTTGCTGTTGTTTGTTTGTTTGTTTGTTTGTTTGTTTCAGTTGTGGCTCTCAAAAGGTGAATTAGAGTATTTTGCAGTTCCCAAGGGACATTCAGCAATATCTAGAGATTACTTGGATGTTAAGACTTGAACAAAGCCAGTGGCATCTATCTAGTGGGCAAAGGGTAGAGACTCCAGTAAACGTCGAGCTATATACAGGACAACTCCCTCAACCCACCAGGAATTCGTATGTTAGCACCAAATGTCAATAGGGTGAGGCTGAACAACTCAGGATTACAGTATCATTGATATTATAGGAGAAAAATATCTCAAGTAAAAAACACTTAACAAGAGTAACAAAAATGTACTTAATCCAAGTTCCAAGTTTTATGTGACAAAAGCATCTTCAAAAATGAAGACCATTAGACTGATGGAAAACTGATTGTTTTTAATGCTTAGGTTTAGTGAAGAATGAAGAAATGTATGGAAATATGGTTGGATAGAGAGTCTTAATCTAAGGGCAGTGGGCTGAGTGGACCGAGTGGGGACATCTATCAAGGCCTGTCTGTTCAGATTATTCTTAAGCTGTTCTGCAGCATTCTGTCGGAATAAAACACTCTAAAGTGGAGAAGGGAAAGGGCTTTCTCAGAGGAGAAAGTTCTAGTTTGAACCACCTCTAAGAATACATGTTTCTAATTCAATTTAGGAAGTTAAAAATATGTAAAGATGGAAGACTTCAGAAAAATATCAGGTTTTTTTTTGTTTTTGTTTTTGATTTTTTGGGTTTGTTTTTGTTTTTGTTTTTGTTTTAGGTTTTTGATTTTTGGTTATTGGTTTTTCTTCTGTGGCTTTTCAAGCTCCTCCAGTCTCCAATCCTCCTCAGGATGCTGAAGTGTCAAATGCCAAGGTCTCATTTTTCTGAGCCTCCTTTGTCTAATTGAAAATATCATTAACTGCTCATTTTGAAGCATTATTATCAAGACAGCAGCAGTTCTCCCAGTCTCTGAGACACGTGATGCCAAATGCTGAAACTGCAAGTGGGAGAGCATTCTAGAACTCCCTAAGGAAATCAGGCTATCAGCTCTGTAATTTATTGACTATGTTTTATATGGCCCCAGACACATCACAGAGCTATAAAATGGAAATCAATTCTTCCATGTTCAGTAGTTTGAAACACATGCTCACTGGTCTTCCTAGTAGGAACAAGTAGAGAATGAGAATCATATTCAGAGAGCATCATGAGCATGATCTATAGGAAGGAAAAAGAAGAGAAAGCACATTATTCTTACCATTTGCTAATGTATTAGAGAGCAAAAAGTACATTAATTTCTTATCTGTGTGGTCTCTACCAAAAAAGTTCATTTACTGATTTTTTTAAACTAACCAGCTAACCTATTTATAGACGGTTATTCCTTTTGTCATGCAAAATTGACACTCACTGTGTAGCTCTACTTCGTGTTCCCTTTTTATGTAATAGTCTAATAGTGGTAAAAATATTTGATTCTTAAAGCAGGCACAACCTTGAGTAAGAATTGAATCACCCATTTTGGAAATCTTGTAACAGGTAGTTTTTGAAGCTAGCAAACACCCGTGTATGAAGCAAGTACAAGATCCTGTATTATCTTGCAGAGCCTGACTACAAACTACATTCACATTACTTTAGAAAAATACCATGGGGAAAACCCTGAAGGATTATCTGAGCTTGCTGGAAGTCCTCCCCAACTTCTCCAATTTATGCTAGCTGTAGGAAAATGTCACAATTAGTCGATGTCACATGGAACACGTTTTTTGACAACCCGATGATCATGAGGGATATAGGTTCATTATAGTTCTTCTACAATGAGTATACTAAATCCATTAGTATCTGCCCCTTCAGCAATATGCTTTCCAGCAGTAACATTAAAACAATCACATAAAAGAGTAGTGGTATTTGCTCACGGAAGATGTTCTGAAATGAAGTTCACATCTTTCTTCTAGGGACCTAGCTCAGGCTTTTTGCTATCAAAACACACTTTTGTGCAGCCACTGTGTCCGAGACTTCATATGCTTGTGACTAGAAGATTTTTGCTTTAATGAAAGATGACATTTTGAGAGGGACTTAAATAATACATATGAGAGTGGCTGGGAGGTTTTTGTATATGAACTGATTCTGTCTCCATGTGGGTGTGTGGAAACATCTGTTTCAAACCATTGTGGGAAGACGGGCCATAGGTTCACTCTCACCAAATGTTTGTTACACTGTCCTGACCTAAGAGAGGGCTTCTGGACTGGAAAGGAAACAGAAGTAGTCTTGGCATCATATCCCTTCACAAAACAAAACAAACCCCACATCCTTATACTGTTTGAAGGGTTTCTTCACAATATGAAAATTCTTCAAATTTCCCTCTTTTGTTTATTTTTTTAACCCCTCACCAGTTTCACCATAGTTCATATCTACGTGACTCGGGGCTCATTTGTCAACATTTAGAAACTGACACTGCTGCATTACAATGGGCTAAATCACCCACTTTATTTGAATTCCACCAGTTTCCCCACTAATGTTCTTTTCTTTGTTGTTCATTTTAGAATCCCATTCAAGATACCATGCTGCATTTACTTATCATTTTTCCTAGTCATCTGTGTCACCTTTTGATGACTGATGACTCTCCTCTGCATTTTGCCTAAGATAACAAGCATCACATTGGAATCTTATGAACTCTCCACCTTCAGGTCAAGTCCGTATTGTGGAAGACATCATGCACTTCATAAACAAAGTCAAAAGACCCCTGAGTTCAAATTGACCTGAATGCTTCCTCCCGGAGGACTAGATTTCAAGTCACCTGAAGGCGTCATCCAAGCTTCCAAAGGACAGAGGCTACCAAAAGTCCTACCAATCTGTGACAACTATGAACCATATCAATGGCAAGAATAGTATGAAAACCCTAAGGGGGTAACCGTGACATGCATAACATTGTGGTAAACGACAACTCTCTAATTATACTTAAGATCCATTTAACAAGAGGAAAACCATGTCTGGTACTAGAAACCTAACTAACTACTCAATGCTAGTAAAGTCATGGAGGAGAATCTGCAACCACTACTTTGCTTATCCAATACATTCTCTGTGATGGTTTGAAAGAAAATGGCCCCCACAGGCTTACAGGGAGTGCCACTGTTCGAAAGAATTAGGATGTATGGCCTTATTGGAGTACATGTAGTTTTGTTGGAGGAAATGTGTCATTTGGTGTGAGCTTGAAGTTTCAGATACTCAAACCAGGCCCAGTGGTTCTCTCCTCCTACTCCCTGCCACTCCAAATCTAAAACTCTTGGCCTCTTCTTCAGTCTCTTCTTCAGTATTATGTCTGCCTACAGTGCTGCCATGCTTCCTGATGTGATGATAATGGACTAAATCTCTAAACTATCCCCAATTAAATATTGTCTTTTGTAAGGGTTGCAACGGTCATGGTGTCTCTTCACAGCAACAGAAACTCTCACACAATCCCTGGCAATAATCTACGAGCATTTGTCTGTATACCCACAGATAAGTATAGTCCTCACCCCTCCTACTTCATCAAGGAACATTTTCTTTGAAACAGATGGAGACCACCGAGGAAAAGCACAACCAGTATCAAAATGCAGAGTTGTGGATCCCAGTCCCAATTGAATACAGCTATAAAATACTTGTACACCTAAGGGTCAGGGAACATTATGGAAGAGGGGGCCAGAAAGATTGTAAGAGCCAGAGGATAAAGGAGTTTGCTGTGAGATTATATGAAAAAAAAAAAAAACATTGACATCCATAAACTCTCACCAACATAACTGTCCAAACACAGTCTAAACAAAGATAAAATGATGGACATAGAATACTGAGTGGAGAAAAGCCCATGAGACCTAAACCATACAAAAAGAACTATAGACAATCAAGGAAGCTGGAAGTGGGAGAGGTGATCTTAACCCAGGGACGAGTACAATTGGTTCTCCATGGTAACCCATGGAAACATACATACAAGTACCACTCTACAGATTGAGCAGATTATATTTAGGAATATATATCCATACACACACACACACACACACACACACACACCACACACACACACACACACACACACACACACACAATATGAATGCAATAGAAATTATTGAAAAAAGTGCCCATGAATTTGAAATTTGAAGGAGAGTGTAGTGGAGTGTATGGGATGGTTTCAACAGAGGAAAAGGGAGAAATAGTTTAATTCTATTACAATCTCAAAAATAAAAACAATGATTTTTTTAAAGTCTCCACGAAACACGAAGTGTGGTGTTTTATGTTTCTCATTCTGGTACTTAGGACATGGAGGGAGGTGGGCACATGGGGGAATATCAGGAATCCAAAGTAATCTTTAGCTATATATCAAGTTTGTGGCCAACCTGAGATATGTAAGACTGTGTTTCAAAGAGAAAATAAATAAGAAAACCTGCTTCCTTCCAAGTGTGGTGACACACGCCTCTAATCCTAGCATTTGGGCTACAGGGATAAAAGGATCAGAAGTTCTAGGCTAGCTTCAGCTACATAGTAAGTTGAAGCAAGCTTGAAACTTGAACCTAGGCTACAGAAAGATGATGTCATAAAAATAAAACAAATAGAAACAACAAAAAAGGTGTCTCCAACCTCTCAACCATAACCATACAGCATGAGAGCTCCCTCAGTTAAAACAGTCAGTCAAAAGACCATCCTAGGTTATCAATTTTAAAATACAATTAAACTATCATCGGCCTTCCTTTTCATCCCTGCTTTTTCCTTCTTTCAACAGTTTCATGTATTCTGGGCTGGTTGTAAACTTTTAACAAAGGATGTTTCACACCTCCTGATACTCCAGACTCTGCCTCCTGACTGCTGCCATTACATGCTTGTCACTAGTTTATGTGGTGCTGGGAGTTAAACCCAGCACTTTATGTATGCTTGGCAAGCACTCTATCAACTAAACTATATCCCCAGAATAATCTAATGATTTCCTACTCCATGATTTCGTTGCTATTCTCATATAAAATGTTCGGTGTGAGCTGTTGTGTGAAACAAAATAGAGTTCATCAGGCAACAAGAAGGACTATACTAGGAAAAACAAAGTTCTAGAAACTCCGCTTCTGGCTTGGTGAGGAATGGAAATGTGCTTCAGAGCAGACTTACATGGATGAGGGAATTATTCAGACAATTAGATGTCTCTGTCCAAAGAGCTCAGCTATGAGCTCTTTGTCCAAAGGCTAGATGTGTAGCATCAGAAAGTGAAGCACACAACAGTTCCATGGGTATAAGATCAGAGTGGCTGGTGATCAAACTGGCAGGTACTAGTTATGTGTCAACCAGGATGATTTTGATGATGGAGTAGGTTGTCAAAAAACAATATGATTTCTTTTTGACATAGCCCATTTTACCTGAAAATCAGAGGTGGGGTTCTGACTGGGGCCAAAGTACCATGGGCAGAGTTTGTACCTGTAAAAGCCATACAGAACACGATAGCCAGAATTTAAACTGAGATAAATGAGTTCCAAAGATTGTGATTATAGAACCCTGGTCATCAGAGTCAGAGTGGTGTAAGAACACAGGCAAACTCACAATGAAGGTGGATTGGGTGAACTTTGTCCCAAACAAGAGATGCTAAGTTCTCCTGTGAATAATATTAATCTAACTTACAGTTTCTAGCACAAGTAGGGAGAATTCTGTATTTAGTAGCCTCAATTCACAATATGTTCACAGACTCCTCACCTCAAGTTACAACAATGAAAACTGTCTCCAAGTCTGGGGAGACGGTTAAGTAGGTAAAAGTACTTGCTTGCATCACAAGCATGAGAAGCCATGTTCACATTTTTAGAGAACGTGAAAAAGCCATACATAGTCATGTATGCTTATGATCCCAGCACTGAGGTGGGAGGGAAAAGGTAGGACAATTATTGGGACTTGCTGGCTGCCAGCCTAGCTCCAAGTTCAGGGAGATTCTGTCTCAAGAAAATAAGGCAGAGAGTCTTAAAGCAGGACAGCAGATGATGTCCTCTGGCCTCGATGGGCAGAATCATCCACACATCCACACACACTTATAACACACACACACATACACACACACACACACACACACACACACACAGAGAGAGAGAGAGAGAGAGAGAGAGAGAGAGAGAGAGAGAGAGAGA